AGAAAATATAAATCAAAAATATAAAGAACATTATTATTTTGTTTATTATCTTGATTAAAGAAAATAAAATAAAATGTTTCTTTACTGTTTAAGAAAACATGTTATGACTTTAACTTGAACAGAGTTCTGTCTCATTAAAGGAGGCCTTCTGAGATCAGGGTCAAAGACAGGTGGAACGGTTTCTTCTTCCTTGAGGTGACCACTGCACYGCCCCACCAGCCTTTTTTTGCTTCAATAAATTATTTCTATTTGAACCTCTTAGTCTGTCTGCACATGGGTCCTACTGCTGACAAATCTGACAATCCATACAGTGTTGGAATGTTGGACATTTCCAACCTGTTTTCRTTCTCTGTAGGCCTGGAGGTGGTTGACAACCCATGGGTCTACTATAATCACAAATTTAACAAAATTGCTTTATGCTATTTTATCTTAAAGCACAGTTTTTATATTATCAAACATATTTTACATTCTTATGTACATTTGATTAAAGTAGGAGTTTCCCTTACTCCTTTCCATCAATGGCACACCATACAATCTACATGTACGCTCTCTGTAACACAAATAGAGTGCAGAATCCATGTGCAGATTTATTGTGCATGCCTGTGCTGCCTCAATTTAGCTTAAAWTTTAAAGTTTAGCTTAAATCAAATGGCAAGGAGGAAAACACTTACCTGTRCCTATTTGTATATACAGTACTTTGGTGTCTGCACCTTGACTGTCCCTCAATCAGTGCTTCTTTACAAAATCTGTCAAGTGAAACGATTACACTATGCACTCAGCTTCCTTATAAAAGGATTCTTCTGACTTTCTTCACTGCCTGTGTAACATCTTCATGTAGTGAACATGCCCATTTCACCTCACCTCATCTCACCACTGGTTGACCTTTGACCGCCTGAGGTCAAAGCTGTCTTCTCTCAKACTGAACTGTTTCAGTCCTCACTGAGGACTATCAAAAAATAAGCCTTTCACTGTCTCTCTCCTTTCCCCTGGGAAAGGTCTCGTTCTCAAGAGATTTGTTATTCTGTTGATAAAAATAAATTAAAACAAACATTCTGTCTGTTATTGCTGTTCCTTTAAACATGTATAATTCAAATGCTTAAACCCTTTAAAATATGTTTTGACTTTTCAAGGGCTCCCTAGTAATAGTTATTTTATAAC